CCTCGACCGATTCAGATAACGAGTGTTGTACCACAAGATCGCGAATATACTGGAGTGGCAGGTTATGGGCAGAATCGGTGCTCCAGAGCTGAATGAGACGTGCGCCTGATGTTGCGTAGTCGATGCGACAGGTGCGATATATGAAAGGTAGCGCAATAAGGCGCAGCTTCCTATTGCTCAGCGAGAAAGGAAGGGTTGCATTGGTCGACTTGTCCGTCTTGTACAGCTGGAGAGGGAAGAATGAGCATGCAATGCTGGTCAACAGTATATAAAATGAGTATACCTCAAGCAGTATCGCTCTAATGAGATCAGAATGAAGATTTTCAAACTGCATGGGTCAGCGTTGGAAACAAAACTACCGCAGCCTCATGGGTGGCTGCTTTTATGGGCGTCACAGGAAGTGGTTGGAGGCGTGAGAAGCGCGCTCAAACCGGCGCTTAGAGCAGAGGGGGACGGCCATGTCAAGATGAAGGCAAGAACATGGAGGTTAGAATCAAAATGCTGCCACACCAACATACCTTGAATCAAACCACGACATACTTCGAGGTCGATTTCAATCCTTTCGGTTGTAGCGAATACACACTGCACGACAAATTCTGTGCCTGTTTTTGTGCAGGTCACCTATTATTTCTTTAGTTACTGGCGGATTGGCAGTTGGGTCGCTCATCGTTCCCTTTCAACATGTCTTTCTTGTCGTCTCTTATCCCATCCCTCGTGACGTCGACACCCAAATCAGGAAACTTTAAGACAGCCAATGCCCATGTCTACGCGTCTTACAGTTCTTCCAAACCCCTTCCCTCAGTCCCTGCAGGTTTCACGCGCTTTGTCTGCATCTCTGATACTCACAGTCGTTACTTCGAAATCCCTCCCGGTGATATTCTACTTCATGCTGGAGATTTGACGACAATGGGGTATGTTGGTCAAGTCAAGGAGAGTTTAGAGTGGCTACGTGGGTTACCGCATCCAGTGAAAGTGTAAGAATTTTCGTCTTGGTGCATAGCTAGGAACCAGTTCACAGAATTTAGAGTTATTGCAGGCAATCACGATATGTGCCTCGACGAGACGATTAGCTCAACTGAGCAGTTGGTTGGTGGAGAGGTATGTGAACTGCTGCTTTTCCGCTTCTTCACTTATACTAATCGTCATGCAAGGAGGATGATGATGACACACCAATGGAAGAAATGATGAAAGAATTTACGTCCAGTGAAGCCAAATCCAAGGGCTTTCATTATTTGCAATTTGAATCCACAACCATCAAGTCTCCTAGAAGCGGAAGACAATGGGATATTTGGGGCTCGCCTGTTCGTCGTTCACATGCCATTTACCTGATTTAACTAACGCCTCCTTTTTTTCTCAGGCAACTCCGAAGAAAGGCAAAGGTGCATTCACATATCCGCCGAACTCTAACGCAGCTCGAGGTGTGTCCAACTCCACATTTCTGAACTCGCGGTTTCATGACATGAAAACAGACATTTATGCTAAAATACCGTCACAAACGGATATATTCCTCACTCATACACCTCCGTTTGGCATGCTTGACAAAAAGAGGCAAAAAGGTAGTCCATCACTTGGATGTCCAATCTTGCAGGAGCAGTTAGATTCTTTAGATAACATGTGTTTACATGGTATTATTTTGTCTCTGGTGGGTTGTAGGTTATCTAAAGTCACCATTTTCTCAGTATTTGGACATATTCATCAAGCTCATGGGACACAACTTGTCACCAGCGGGCGGGGGCAACATATTGCTGTAAATGCCGCAATGATGGAGGAGGGTATTGCGGTGGTTATAGACTTGAAAGATTAAAGCTTAAGGAGGCATTCGTCGATGACTGCATGATTGGAGCTTTCCGGTGAACGTTAGACCCTGGTACGTCGCGTGTATTTAACGCACCATACTCAGAGACATCGGACTGGAAACGATCGAGCCAGTCAAAAATTGTACCTGGAGAAACAATGTCTGGCCCTGTTTAATATATTTATAAGATGCTAGCTAGGTTCTTACAACATGAATCTCTCTATTCTACCTACTCATTCACTCCCCGGGATCACTTTTTGTAAGTATTGTGTGTAATGATATGAATGTTCTAGCTGGATACAAATGTTAACTAGATTGTTGGACAGCGAGTAATGTTCATTGGTATGTGACGTTCGTCTGAGTAGAAATTGTTTTCCACATCTGGGAAATATGATACAAGAAATGTTAGGGTACAAGGGCAAGGGAAAAGTATTCACGACAATGGCAAAGTCCCAATGAGAGAAAAGCTGCGAGGATAATTGAGATCCCCTTGGAAATGACGAGCTAATGCAGAGGGATAACGCTCCCTGAACTTTGGCAGGTAGTGGCTTGATACAATGCAGTTAGTTCGGAGACAGGGCTTGAATGTTTGACGCAGGGTTATCCATAGTTGAGCTTCGGCGATGATGAAATTCACGACGGATGTGGACCTTGGCTCCCGCGTCAGATAAAACCTTTGAGAACATTGTTGAATCAATATATGCGCCAGCCTGAAGATATGCTTGTTCACGCACCTTGGTTAACTCCGTCGAGCCTCCCAGTCCGGGGAACCCCTTAGTCGAGTACATTTGGAAATGTCCACCCCAACAACAAGCGGTAACAGGGGCGATACCGTCTCGTGAGTTCGTAATATCTACTACTCGGTAGAATGGGTAGAAGGACCCTTCATCGCGGACAGCAATGTCCTAAGAAATATATGAGTAGCAGACTCCATAGCGCTAGACTGAAATTGCTCACCCCAAATACAAACATGATAACTTCCTTTCCTCCATATTGAATATTGACGGCTGGGACTGTTTTCTCGCCAACAATGGACTTTGTTGCATTGTTTGGCAACTGTGTCACAATGGAAGGACTCATCCGGGACATTTCAATCCTCCGGCTGTTAAGTATGTAGGCTTAGACCGGACGGTCCAAAACCGTGGACAGATGCTCACGAATAATCAGAAGTAGCAGTGTTAGTCGTAGCCGTTTGTTGAGCCGAATTGATGGACAATATGTCGATGGTACCAAATAATCCGTCCGTAAGAACATCTCTAATGCATAAGAGAATTGACAAAAAGATGAGTGGAATGAGGTCGCATTTACTGACTCATAATTGTCTAGTTCTACTTCCTTTTGGAAGGGAGTTCCTGCATTCTCCACCCTGAAGATCGACAAGAGAAGCTGATGAAAGAGGTAACCAATGAGGATCACAGCAAAGCCGGCGGAACACTTACAACAGGAGGCGGGTCAATAGGGCGACGATCTACGGCGGCATACCTACGTCGACAATGGTCAAAAGAGTCGGATACTATGTCGCGCGGTCGTCCTTACTTGCGGCCGCGCTCTGCTTGTTGTATTTCAACAATTTCCATCCTGATTGTCTGTCCTACCGCGTTATGCGCATCAAATTGGGCGGAAGCGCAAGTGTAGTATAAGAAAGCTGACCTGCGAACTGTCCACCGGTGTGTAGAATAGGTCCAACCCCAACCCCTCTCAGGTCCATAGCTGCACGCCGGTAGGATGGTTGTGGAAACGTTATGGAGAGAACAAAGTTGCGTGTATCTGTCAGCTGCTCTGTCACCTTCCCGATTCCTACAGGTTGCTTCGTGCTTTGAAGAACGCGTGGAGCGAAGGCTTGAGAAAAATCCAGTCTAGCATGCGACTTTTTGGATCTCAAGGCGTTGATGGATGCTATAATGAGAAACCAGCAGGTTTGAGGCGAGTGTCCAAGTTACTGACCCATCGCTCGAAACCCGGGTTCGTTTTTCATTCTTCTGAGTGTGGGGGTCGCCTGCTTCCACTTTATAAAGACTGACCTTCCATTTGACGCCGTTGGCTCCACAGAGACGGGAACCTGAGACTCAAGAGCTTCGACCCACCTGACTTCCTTCAGACGTCACAGCGACAAATTGAACTTGGCGCTGCCAATGACGTCTACTTTCAATTCATTATCTCGGACTTCTCGACTAACAATCAAACTGTGCAGGTCATATCAGAAACCTCAATTCCTCGATGCAAACGAACGGTAAACAAAAGGGTTCACTGCTTGGAGTTATTCCCTCCTCTTCGAATATGACACCGACGATGTCTAGACTTGCCTTTATCAGCCGGAGAGATACAACTTTGAACATGAAATCGACTGCAAAACGTTAATATACATATCAAACACCTCATTAACTTGCAGCAAGAGGTCCCGAACGAGAAAGTCGTTCGGTAACTCAGCAGCTATACTGCTTTCTGCTGCCCAATGGCATGTATCGTATTATTCGCATTTGAACGAATAAGAGAAAGCCGCCCCGTACCGAACCCCCCCCCCAAGTTTCCAATATTATGAATCTTGAAGGGTAACCTTGTTCCATAAACCAGCGAAAGGACGCGTTGGAGGAGTGGCTACAGGTCTTTGACGCGTTTCTTTACAGGAGGTTTGATGCGCAGAAAATAATGGGTAATAACTTAGCGAATTCCATCATCGCAACGGAATTTATTGTCATGCCACCGTCTCGTAGAGCGAGGATGCATAATTTCGACCGTCGTGCGACCAGTGAATGTTAAAATCTCCTGTCTCTCTTATGAAAAGAATTGGCAACTGTTTTGGTGACTTCTGGCATCTTCGGGATACCCTGAGCTAGGACTTTATGGAAGGCGCTCCAGAGATGCACCAGGCACCCTCACCGATCATTTAACCTACTATTTGGGTCTCCTACACCTCCTCTTCTGTTTCTCATGTTACTGGTCTGCCAATGCTGCCGTCATATATGTGGTCATTTATGAATGGTTAGCCTAAGACTGCTGACTTACAATCTATCTACATCCAGGCTTGAGCAAAATTTTTCTTTTTTGCCAACCCAGCTCTCTTCCCTTAATACAACAGAAATACACCAGAGGAATTCTTGAGTATCAGTCCTCACATCTTTCATAGTTATTATCAAGTAGAAAAGAATTGCTTACCTTTTCGGTCTGTCCACCCACCTGATTCCCCCTTCCGAGAAATGGCGATGGCGATCTTGTGGCGCAATGGCAGCGTATCAGTTTCCGGAGCTGGGGGTTGTGGGTTCGAATCCCATCAAGATCGTTGAGTGTTTTTTCTTGCATTCTATTTGCTTTGTTCCTCCACAAAATGAGCCCGAGGAGCGACCAATTGCAAGGCAATGATATCTATAGCCAAAGCTTTATATAAATAGTCATATTACGGAGTCCCTGAAAATCTAAACCAAATAAGTAACATTCTAAGTAGCTAAAGATTGCTCAACTCCATGCAGTGCCTTATATGGTACAAGCTCAGTAATAAATGTAGTGAAAAAGAATGTCCCAGGAATTGACGATGTTTTTTGTTGTAAAGTAACCAGTCAGTCAGCCGTGCAGAATTAAAATGAAAGAGAGGGAAAAAAATGAAAAGAGATGTGTGTGTATGCAATGATAAGTGGAAAAAGAGTCTTCAATGATAGTACATGGATGCATTCAACGAAAATCCAAGATATGTTTCGCTTTCGGGTTATATCCTACATCAACGAGCCTGCCAAGACAAAGAAGCATCAGTCACAGCGCGAGACACCTGAAAAATAGAACAAACCTGAACCAGATTCTTCCGCCTCCGCTCTTCTCTCTAACCATCTCCCATCTAAGCCCTCTTCCTGTTGAGGTTACATCATAACCTCTCAAACAATCCAACAACAGCTGCCGCCCCTCCTTGGTCCCATCGCCCTGCAAGACCCACTCTCCAAACCAGCCTAGACCTAGCACCTCGGCTGCACCAGCTCCAAAATTAACGTGACCATCCACATGCACCCTCGCAGTCCAGCAATACCTCTTCACCCATACGAAGCCTTCAGGTGAATGAGGGCTGGGAATCTTCGTATTGACATTCACCATAGTCAACTGGGGTACATCCCGAATCTGAGGCAGTCGCGAGAGGAGGTATGTTGGGCTTTGGTAAGAGGATGGATAGAGGTGGGAGTAGTAAAAGGGTGATGGAAGTGTCAAGGGATTCATGTGGCTGGGTAAAGACTGTTCTGGTGGCATGTATGGTACAAGAACTTCGCCATTGAACATAAGCCAGAGTTTCCGGTTGAATGAACCCACGGACTCGTCTGAGGCGTCGTCTGAAGACGGTGGAATATATCCCAAATTGACAATAATATCACCTGTTGACAAATGTTCCCAGAGGTTGGACTGGATGAGCTGCTCTTCGCATTCTTGGAGAGCAGGCGAATCCTCGGACTGGTCGGTGCAGGGGTAAAACACACGCAAGACCGGGGCTCGAACTCTTGAAGCAGCGAGCACAATGTCGTGAGGTCCATCATATTGAGGTTGGGGGATAAATGAATTACGCTTGGCAGAGCGAGGATTGTCTGACTCTTTAGATGAAGAACCAGACTCGCTGCTGTACATTCCCGATGAAGACGCAAATCGAGCATGTGGGCGCTCAAGCGGACCATCTTCGTCGTCGGATGCTAGCCCTCCGGATGTCTGGAAAAGCGTTCTCCGCCAAGTCGAAGAGTACACTCTAGGGGCTGCATTGGGCGGCGGAGGAGGAACAAACTTTGAATTGCCACCAAATATGGATGCACGGCGACCAACTTTTCGACGGCTAAGGCTATCCACCGATTGACGCAACTTCTTAGGTGTTACCACCAGATTGTTCCGCGATGAACCCGCACGTTTGTGGCCCGCATCTGAACTCATCAATGGTTCCATAGCGGTCTTGGGCGTGGGCGGATAAGCGGGCGACGGGGGAGGTTTGTAGGATAAGGGAGCAGGGAAAGTGAGTTCTCTGGGGGTCCGAGAGGGCGCAAGATCGAGATGCAGCTTAGGACGAGGCGACGTCTCCTTCGCTTCTGGAGGGGGCAATTTGGAAGAACTGTGGGCCATTGACTGGATATGGAGAACCATTCTGGAATGGGACTCAGCATAAGCGACAAATTTAGCGGTCGTGGCGTCTTGTTCCTGACTCGGGAGGATGGATGATTGAACAGTCAGGGCGTGCATTGGATATCGATGTAAGGGTGTCGATTGGGATCGCACTGTAATAGTACATTGTTAATAAAAAATAGTCAACGCGCAGAAGGGGATAAAAAAATTAACGAACTGAAAAGGTTCATGTCATGGATGGAGAGAGAAACGTCCTTGAATTGCTCAAGGTCGCGGTGTTTTAACACGCCAGTATATCCAGGGACAAAGCGAGACAGGACGACATCGCGGAGATGAGAAGTGCGAAACAGCCTCCAAGCTTGGCGGCAAGTGTTCGCTATTGTCAAAAAATCATCCCAATCAAGGTAAGCGAGAAGCGCGGAGAGACCGCTTGTATCGGTTACTACAGTCATGAACATGCATCGTCCAGTCTCAGCTGGAATAAATGTGGACTGGCGCCTAACATGCATGAGACTGCCTGTCCTACTACGGTTTCGCATTGGGGGACGGATAGACGGAGAAACAGGCGAAGCTACAGCATTTTCGACTGAAGCAGCAACGGTCGTCTGTACAGGAGGGACTGGGAGCGGTTTGCGTCGCTGGGCGGGTTTGGATGTGGTGGTAGATGCTGTCGAAGTGGAGGTCAACGACGAAGAGCGAGATTCCAAGCGATGAATGTGGTCGAGCATCATCGGCGGGTAATTCGCGTGAGGAAGAGGAGAAGCCACTGCAGTCATAGTTGAGTTAGTGGATGAGTGGAACGCCAAGAAAGGACCATAAACACGTTCTCAGCGGAGGGAGAGGGTCGTGGTTGGGAGGAAAGTGAGCGAGGAGAAGTCCGTACCGCGTCTTAATTTGATATTGACCATCACTCCGCCGACTTATTTCCCTGCCGATCATGGTGCCCGCTCCCCTTGTCTCCAACATTCACCATCAACTCGCCGCACGCGTAAATTCACATCTGCTGTACATTTTCTTTTCCACTTGCAGAGCTTCCGAGATGGTCCCTGAATGACTTCAGAGTCTTAATCCTATTTATAATCCGCAGCGCTTGGAACCGTTCACCTGCTTTGACAGCGATTCCTCGAGCCGGCATTCAAACCGAAATCGTATCCAACTGTGGTAATTTTTGTTTCCAGCGCTTACAATACGTAAAGCGGCGCCTCAGGAGAGCAATATTCTTTGTCATTAATGACGCATTCCACTTCCTTGCGTGGGAAAAATCTTACCGCTCCTAGGAATAAAATTGCCCCCTTTCTTAACACTTCCGAGTCCTTTGATAACACTGGCCTAAACAAATCCCAGCCACCATCCTTCTCGGGCAAAGAATGTCCGTAATGGGGGCTCTTTGAGTCAACTCGTGTCCTCCACGTTTGTTTTGGTATGTGCTGCGGTCAAAGTATGACAAGGTGCTTCTTTCTATTTCGCAAAAATATTCGGCACTGGAGCCGAACGTGAAGGGCTGCGGAGGGGTTGGTTGCTCATGGAAAAAGGCGGAGTGGTGAGCCCGTTCAGCTTGTATCACCTGCAGAAGGCTCTTGACCAACAACAAACCTGGTGTAAACTTCTCTAGGACATCAAAGCTCAAAGACCTAGACCAGGGTTAAACCCTTGGAGGAAAATTAGATCTGATAAAATGAACAAGTCTTAGGGGGATCTCCGACCCGTTTTTGGCCTTACAAGACCTCAGCAAGTTTGACAAAGGACAAACCGACGGATGCCCAAACTCAAGGCATTGTGAGTTTGGGAGTAACTTACTAACTGGAGATTTTGCTTCAACGCTGAAACGCCGGCAACTGTATGAACAACTGAGAACCAATTGCGCAAGCCAACCTCATGATCCTTCGTGCGACTAGTAAAACAACATATCAGCTCCTCCTTGCAATACACTTGTTTTACCTCTCATGGTTCGTTACAACTTAGATCCTGGTATTTTCCTCACCGCAATAGACTCTTCTCTCCTCAATCAGCGCCCAAGGATGGTGGGTTTCATCCCAGCAGACATAAATACTGGTCCACTGTAAAACTTCTTCTCCTCCTCCCCAAAAAGAAAACAATTCATCGCTACTCTGGTTCGTTCTTTTTTTTCTTTTTATTTGGCGTTCACTTTTTTGATAAATAAGGCAAAGGTCGTTGTATGGCAAGCGCAATTCCTCCAGAGATCCTTTTGCGCGTCTTCTTAATATATCGGGATGATATTCTCGATCATCTCTCCCGTGCACACAGACTACATGATTGGGAGATCATTCGATCCTTTGATGGAGATTGTCCTGTCCTTTGGCTGACTCCATCGGCGGTTTGTGCGCGGTGGAGGACAGTAGCCTTGGGATGCACCACACTTTGGAACATCATTCATCTTAACAACGTTCCTGCAACAAGAGAGCTTCTTCGGCGTTCAGGTTCTGCTCCTCTTTTTGTGGGCCCGCAAGAGCTTGTGAGGCACTACTTGAGTGCTGAAGCGTCTTCAATATTCGAAGCATGTCTTGCGTTGACATTGGAACACAGCCAGCGCATCCAATCGCTCGACCTCACCCCATTCCAGTCTCTTTTTTGGTCGTCACCGCCAACCGAGCTCTTACGAGCAATGGAAGCCGCTACCTTTCCTTCTTTACAAGTGCTCAAAGTGAGCTTCGAAAATCCTTACTTCGCATCAGGTTTTGGTAAGGCTGTTGTTCGCCAATGGCTTATCTCTACAGTGCAGAACATCCTCTCATCATATTCTCTAACCGAGCTTCATCTCGTTCCGGCTGCTTTTCCGCTCACGCCACATATTCGCCTGATTTCGCTGAGGTGTTTAGTGCTAGGAGATACGAATATGAAGCTTTGCTGCCAGGATGTTAAAAGCATCCTTCGGCAAGTCCATCAGCTAGAATCCTTTGCCCTCTACATCGATGACCACCATTCCTGCTACCGAAACGACACGGAAAATATAGTCCTTCCTGGGCTCCGAGAATTGAAGCTCCAGGGCTCCCCGCAACCCATCATTCATTTTCTGACGTTCATCACGGTTCAACAAGTCACAGCACTCGCTATTCGTACCTCAGACCATAGGTGTAAACGCGATGACTGCAGCAGTGTTCTAAATGTTATGGACGCCTTGTCATCTTGGCTGAACAACTTTCCGGACTTCCGCAGCTTCTCGTGCGAACTCTGGAGGAACTACAC